TACAGCATTACTGACCCTGCGGCTCAACTCTATCCGAAAAAATCAAGGGTCCAATCTCCGTCCTTGGAACCCCAGGGTCCGATCAACGCCTAGGCTTTGACATATGCAAACTTCTCACCCACTCGACCTCCCGCATACTCAAATACCCGAGACGACGACATGTGAAGTCCATCGGACGTTTCCGGCCATGACATCAAATCCTTGATTGTTGGCCCACTACACGCACTACCGTATGACTTACTCCATTCTCCACCGTGGCTCTCCACACGACAACTGCGTTGAGCACAGGACATTCAGTTGACAGTCGGGCTCTGCACTCCAGTCTCCACACTTGTAGCGAGAAAGCCGACGAAACTCATTTTCCTGCGTGGGTGAGCGAGCCCCGCATTGGGCCGTGGACTAGGTCTTTAGCACAATTGCTGCAAACTCGAACTGTTGAGAGTGGGTCTCCCATCCCATCACATCCACCCCTTACTTACCCTATCCCACCATCTCTCTTCTCTTACAAGCCACGCGTTGAGTGTTCCATATTTCCTGATCCGACTTCTCGCTTGTGCACCAATAGATGGCGGATGTGTAGCGCGACGCAGTGAAGCGCCTCGCTCAGCCCCGCGGAAAATCACATTAACCCCCCGGCTATAGTTATGGCCGATGATTCATTCAGCTCGACGTCGGACGCAAAATAGGTGGGCGCTGTGGAGACGATGGATGCAGAGTCACTCGGCGGAAGCTAAGGCTGCGTGAGGAAGGCTTCCGATGCTTGCGGGACGGAGATGATAGTTGTAGAGGCGCGATGGGCGCGATGCAACGGGTGGATATTGGTCGGGAGGTTTCACGGTGGTGAAGATCGTGTCGCAACTGTTGAATACAGTATACTAGCGATGAGTAACAGTGGGACATGGGAGAGGAGCAATTTGCACGTTGGGATCCTAGAGGGCTCTAGAGGTAAGCGGAATATGTTGCATCTGGATGGTACGTATTTCTGTATCGGGAGAGTATCACTTCTAAACGCACTACCTTGCCAAAGCTTCTCCTCCAGCGTGTAAAGTGTTCCCGCCTCGTCCTACGCAAATCCATTATATTTCCTCTACAAAGAGACCGTAGGCAGTGTCACGTTCGCAGTTGGTATGACTGGTAGAGTGAAGTTGGCAATTGGCGAACCGGTGAGGGTAGGAAAGCTTGTCACGACTGGTGGATTGGGACCCAATTCACATGGGTGAGGTCCAGGACGAGGCGTAGGTTGGAAGAGGTTGCTGCACTGCGAGGTGTTAGTATAGCACCTTCATCTCGGGGTAAAGGGGAATCGTTTACGATGCGTGTTGGTGTTGGACATCCACCCACGGCTTGCATGTAACAGCCGTACGAGAAGTTCTCTTCGAAATGGCAGCTCTGGTGCTTGTGTTAGATCAACCATAATGTGCTGAATCCATCGTCTCATGTACGTCAACCTACCTGTAGTGCATCAGTTGCCCAGCATGGGTACCTAGCTGTCGCTAATTGACACTGGCATTTCTTCGTAAAGATTGGGATTGGCTCCCAATGAGGTGGCCTTTTCGACGAACTCAACTCTGGGTCTTCATCGTCGTCGTCGTCTGAGCTGGGGTCACTCGTCGGGAAAGCTGTGACTGGGATGTTCAGCGAAGTGGAATCTGGCGTGGCAGTAGTCGATGTCGGTAGGATTGCTGAGAGTGAAATGAGAGTTGCTCCTGGAGGTATCGATATGTCTGTAGCTTGAGGATATGGAACTGCTAGCACCAGCGCTGCCAGAGCACTGAGCAAGACGAAGGTGCGCATTCTGGTAACTTATTGCTGGGTTTTGGTCAATCGCAGAAGTGACTGATGAATGGCAAGGCTGTGAAGTCTTGGTTGTATCATTGAGCCTCTTCATTCTATGTAACCGTTACCGCTCCACGGTGCCTCTCAGAACCATATTGTTTTACGATGCTCTTTAGATTGCGATTGTCAATGTTCGCCTCGCAGTGGTATGCTATTGCTCAGATCAAGTCTTCTTTCATCAACTTGCGACAAAAGTTGCAGTCGCGTCCGTTGTGAAGCTATACATAGCAGCAAAATCTGCGTCTGTATTTACCAGCGCGTATTCCATGTTGTGACTACTTTACCGTGATTGTGAAGTGCCGAAGGCCGCGCGGCTGATTGGCTCCTTCTATGCGTCTTAATCTGAACTCGATATACCCTTACATCGGGATAAATGGCCTAAATTGGAGGATTCGTGGCAGCCAAAACCGAATATTGACGTTGGACGGCACACCCTCTACCAGACATTCCGACCATAGGACCTCCACGGACATGCAGCCGCCTTATCAAGGTGATCGTCAATAATTGATGTCGTAGTGGGAAGACCCGAAGAATCCATAACGCGTCATGTGGCTGCAGTATGATCTCTTCTCATGCCTCAGAGGCGCCCAAGGATTTGATATGACGAAAGACGAGGCCGTTCCTTGAATCGGTTGAACGAATCCTTTGACAAGCGGGAAGGGTCAGCCCATGTATGTGGCGTACACCTCATGCAAAGCTTGGCTCGAAGCAGCCTCCTGGCGTGCGACGACCCGTTTAGGACGTCCTGATGGAGTGTTGGTGCTCCCACCCTGTCCTCAACATGTGGAAGCATGCGTCGCAAGCTGCACTTCGCTGATCAGGGTCCGAACGGTCTCGGCCGCTTGTGTCTTGGAAATGAGGGGTCCAGGTCCGTCGTTTGGATGTTGTTTCCCTAAAACCCATGTAAGCTTGTGAAGTGTGGCCTGGTGTGCTGAGGTGCCGTGATATGCACTCCGCCATCAGCATGGAGCGGAGACGAACTGTGGAGACACATCCACCGTTCAATGTTGTGAATATGCCTGGTGGAGTGATGTGCGAATTTGCAAACCTTGGACGTTGCGCTTTGCTAATAGAATTTGTTATCGGTGCGAACCAAAGATTGGCGATACAAGAGGTACATGGAGGTACTTCGAGATACTTGGTGGGTCGGCATCCCTCACGCCAGCCTGCCCTAGCACACCTGGGCATCTTGTGCAACACAGGCCACGCGCGGGTTAGCCTCTGATAACATATATTGCCACTTGGTGTTGAGATCGAGAAAATTCAGCGGTGGACAACGCGAAGCTGACTGGATATTTTGCAAATCAGTCAGTGAAATTGAAGGTTGTGCAATCGTGGGCACAGCAGCATCAGCATCTGAGTGCAACTTAGTAATCGAGGCATGTGATTTGGCGGCAGACGCTCGGGCCTATGACGAAGTTCGCGATGCCGAACTTCACGAACTGCCAAACGTCGGTCAGGTCGTCGCGTCAACCATTGCACAAGATCTTGTAAGCATGTTACTCTCGTAGCACACCAATGATACGACACATCAGAGGCAATAGCTGACATTCGTTTCATAGCCCCTCATACCGCAACAATGGCACCATCCAGGGCTATTCTTCTTCGCCGCATAGCCTCCGCAGCCACAGCGCCATGCTTACGACCGACTTCGCGTCTCCTCACAACGTCTACCTCTGCACTATGTAGAACACAACAGTCGTCAGTCTTGCGATCGAGCCTATCGCGACAGTCACATTTGCCCACGCTATGCACGCGATCATATTCGCAGTCAGCCAGCGCGGCGCCTGAAGCACCGGATTACCTCAACGAGGCAGAATTACACGTCTTCAACAAGATCAAAGCGGAATTGGAGCCCGTGAAGCTGGAGGTATGTAATGCTTCCCCGCTTTCTCGCTTGGAGATGCGTATGTGCGGAGTCAGGAGCGCTATGCGTTGACCACACCGATCGCACGACCGACTACTGCACCGCGAGCATGCACGTCATATCAGTATTGCGGGGTATATTGCAAGTCTGGACGCACATCAGATGTCGAAGCATTAGCAATACGTCTGCAGAATATGAGTGTGCTTCAGTTAGTTTCTGAACGATTGCTGACATGTAGGGCACAGGTTCAAGATATCAGCGGCGGCTGCGGGTCCATGTATGCCATCCAGATCGAGTCACCCAAGTTCAAAGGCTTGACGGTCATCAAGCAACACAAGATGGTCAATGAAGTGCTGAAAGACGAAATTAAGAGCTGGCATGGGGTACAGCTTAGGACGAAGGCTGCTTGATCGCGGCTCGAATACGAATTGTATATATGCTGTACGACTAATGTATACTTGATAGTTATGAGACAGAGCTTTATGAACATTGTGTCGGACGCCTTGGTTGTGACTCGTTAGTCACTTGATAGTCTATCGCAGCTGCCTTGCTTCGCATGCTGCGATCCAGGCCGAAATAAACGACTACTTAGGGAACTGAGGGCACGTTCAATTACGATTCTGAACACCAAAAGCTAAAATCAACGAGAGAGTAGCCAAGCTTGTCGAGCTAGGGGTTCAGCGAAGGCAGACATGGCAGCGGAAAATGCCGTAGCTCCTAAGCTCTTGTTGTAGGTCATGATATCAGACAAAAGCGCCAATAACCTTCGACTCTGATTGAACCTAGATGCCAAGTACAATGAAAGCCTGAAAACCATACGCACTGTCCTCTTTTTCCTGGAAACTATTCATCGTCGTCGCTATCATAGCTATTGCTGAGCTCTAATACGTCTCCATCTACTCGAAGATCAGAATATTGGCTAGATGAGTGGTACGCAGTAGCCTCCATCCATGAACTTACAAGTCTCAAGCTCTCCCGACCAATTGCACATGACCAGCCGGCAACCAGCGTAGTCTGACACCTCAACGTCGGGAAATCTCGCTCTAAGTTGGCCTGGTACATCGACACTGTGATTGGGGTAGTTCACACGATTATTACTCGCATCCACCCCTTCATCATGTCTCTCAAATCCAAACAGCCGGATGGTTCTCAAATCTGGGCAAGCCTCAGAGTCGAGTAACTCAGGAAGCACTATTTTGACAAATCGATCGTAAGAAGGGCCATTCGCACATTCTCTCATATACGACTGTGGAGGTAGATGTATGGAATCAGTGTATGTTTCACATGCGTCAATACGTTACAGACTTACCTTGTTACTATTGCTATCCCCCGTGTTCTCTTCGGCGATGGGTCGTTGATCGAGGATAAGGTGTTGCAGCGTCTTTCGTGTCGCTCTGAACAGAGCGCTCCACTCCCTCAGAATTCGCTCGTCGGATGGCGTAGAATAGTACATCATTCTTTGCTCGTACTCGGTACCAACTCCAGGCTTGCAAAGATGCAGTGTCTTGAGACTTACCAGTCTCGATATGCTTTCAGGAACCAGGCATGCAAGAGCACGAGCGGTAACATATTCTTGACCCTCCAAGTCCACCTCTTCGACTTTCATACACCCTCCTTCCGTCATCTCTTCCAGATAATCAAATATCTGATCCTCTGGTGTAGCATTCTCGGAATCCGACCAGCCTATTGGACGATCCAAGACGGCCAAATGAAGTTCCTCGATCCGATCAGGTTCCGTGAGAAGCCATCTGACAAATTCCTCGGGGAAATAACCACGCAATTTGAGCGTCTTCAAGTTTTGCAATGCCGGCAGCTGTACATTGGATTTATCCAACCCTGAATTTGGTTTCCAATAGCACGAGATCTCCAGATGCTCCAAGTTCACAAAATGTGCAAAGCTTCGGGCCATGCTATTGGGTGCGGCGAAATGCGTCGGCAAACAGAGCCACCGCACCAACGCGCCTAGTTCTTTCTTCCTCTCTTCGATCAGCCTTTCCCCTGGTGTTTCACCACTCGAGAATACATTGAGAAACTTCTCGCCTTGGATGAGCGCCTTCTGAGCTGGCTGGTATAGTGATCTGATTTGAGGACCGGTATCATAAGGTGGTGTCACGCGACTTGTAGCTTCTTCGATTCGGAGCTCCTTATGTGCGTTTTGCGTATGGAAGCCCGGGCGGTGCATTTCAATGATGGTCCAGAGAAGGGGTTGTACAGCAGAGCGGTAGGCTTTGGAGACGCGGACCATTGCACATAGGTCTCTGCTACAGAGGTGTTCCGTTATACATGCGAAGACATCGGTCGATACTTGTTCCATTGGGAAGGGCATTCTTGCGTGGTAGCGGTGAGAAACCTTAGAAGTCAAGGGATATCACTCAGTTGCCCAGCTCAGTAACAGGAATAGGAAGCAAACAAGGGTGATGCAAGTGAGACAAAGAAGTCAATGTCTTAGAGTGAAGTACGACAACACTACACCAGTGGGAAGCTTTGTGTGGTAGAGATTACTGTGAAGCTACCTAGGTACCTAGGTACCACGCCACATTTACTACCACGCCGCATCAACGTCAACAGGAGCGTCACGGAGTGCATACAGGGACTAGCGCTTATGCCGAGCCATCCATGGATGTATAGGATCTCGTTCCTGCCCAGCACAATACGCTAGGCCAAATGTGGTGTAGACCTGGTCGTCTGGTTGTTGAGTCGGCATTGCGGTCAATGCATCAACGGAGGAGATACTGATTGAGAACCGGATATTGAATACACAGGAGTGCTCATAAATTCGTGATGCAAGACGCAAAAAGTGGCCATAGTGTTCGTACTGCTCTGGTGTTCCTCGCGCGTACGATCCGCTGAAACATTGACAATATATTCTTTTCAACTTCAAGATCTTGCACATACGACCATAGGATCTTGAGAGCAAGGCTTCCCGTTCGCTCAGCCATATTTAAGCAAGATACCGGCAGGCTAGTAGCTTCGTGGGTGACCAGAAGCGAATCCCTGCTGTTGTATGTTTTTGAAGTCTTGATAGATCTTTTTTTTTGCGTGTGGGGCGGACGGCGCATGCGTGTTTTTGATTTTTTGCTCTCCTTTTTAACTGGCCAACTGTTATTAATCTAGTCTTAATCTGATCTTATGGTGCCCAGATCGAGATAAACTGCCTGTTTACGTACTATATATTCGAAAAGAACGAAGTCTCAATACCTGGAAGTGCTACCTTTTGCGCACAGCACTGCCCTACTACCTATTAACCTATGGATGTAGCTTTCAGCAATAAACTCTTTCTCTTGAACATCTTGAATAGTTTGGTCCAGCTCTTAAGCATAGAGCTTGAGCGCCAAAGGAGCGTTTCTTGTAGAGATGCTTTTGAACATTGCCCATCTTCGACTCGTGTTCGCGTGCATCCCTTCCAACTTGATCAAGCAAGGATCGCAGGTCATCGTCGTGTTGAATGTCGACGAGTTCGAATCGAACAAGGAGAGCGACCTATATTCCAGGTATCTGTCAGTCGCTGGAGCCGCACGGAAACTGCTTAAACTTACCGTGATGAATCTAGGCAGCAGCAGGAGACAGTAGGGCAAGCAAGAACAGGGGAACGATCTGACCGAATCCCATTCATGTGTCAATATCAAAGGGACATGGCGTGATGAGCCAGCCGGCGCCGGAAAGCGCTCCAGGGCTGTTATGCTGCAAGGCTGATGTAGATGGAAAGGTGACACATTCCTAGCGCGTTCGGCAGCGCGCGCTGGGCGTGCTCCGCGAACCGGTTCGTCGGGCTTACTTGGCCCCTGATTCCCCCGACTCGTCACAACTGCATTCCTCCAGGCATAGTAATCACCGACTCATGTTGCTATTCAAGGTGTACTGCGCAATGTAATGGCATTTTTAATGACGATAAAGCGTGTGTATATATCTACAAGAATTCAAGCCGCAAGGCTTTTTGACCCCCCTACTTTGCAAGCGCAATTGTTCAAGCGCTCTCAACGGTGATGCTAGCAGATCCGGAGCTCTGGTAGCCCTCAGTAGCGAGGATCATGTAGTTGTGCGTACCAAGCTTCTGTCCGTACTTGGCCCAGGCATCGAAGTGGTTCTTGACGGTGATGGTACCACCGACGCGCTTGCTAGTCCTGACAGACCAGTACTGCTGGAAAGTAGCAGTGCCGTCAATGGAAGGCTGGTTGGTGCGGGTGGTCTGGAGGATGTCGTATGTGCCACCGTCAGTGGTAACGGAACCCTTCTTCTGAGCAGCAGAAGAGGGGTTGTAAGAGCCGTAGGTCTCGACGATGTAGTACTCGACGAGCGGGTTGCGAGTCCATCCGTAAAGAGAGACGTAGGAGTTTACGTTGGCAGCGTTCCAGGTACCAGAGTACTTGACCACCTTGTCAGGCGAGCCGGGGTTCCTAACGAAGAGAGTTAGCAGAGTGGAGAGCGTGGGTTCTGAGGGTGCCTTACCATCCCTTGCCAGCAACGAAGTTACCAACGTTGGACCACTGGACATCGTACTTTCCGGCAGCGCCGTTGTTGTAGGTGACCTGGCCTTGGTTGTCGGTCCAGAATGAGTAGAAGTAACCGTTGTTGGTGCCTTCGCCTGGCTGGGTGGCGCGAGCAGTCAAGTTGGCAGACTCTTCCTGAGCACGAGCATCGAGGATGAGGCCGAGGGGCGAGGCGAGAGCCGCAGTGGCGCTACCGAGAGCGAGAATGATAGAAGAGAAGGCAACCATTGTGTTGATTCAAGTTGGAGATGCTTGGTGTCCTTCTTTCGAGGACAGTTGGGACTCTTATATACCAGTGGATGCGTTGTACCGTGCTGATCATTACCAGGGACCGCCGGTGAACTGCGGCTGCGGATCGAGGGAGCCTTACAAATTGGAGGGCACCTGCCGGGCAGGCGCACCTGGCGTATACCAGCCGTAGTAACTGTGGAGTGCATGGGAGCATGTCTACGTCCCGTCGCCGTGCGTGGAGCCGTGTCCTAAAAACAAGATCGAACCACCGGGTATTCAGGGTCTGAACGTAATGGTTGGACAGCTGTAGAGGCGTAGTTTTGAAACTCGAAACATTCATTTCCGCTGGAGATGCGTTCTGTGTGGACCTGTCATGCTATAGGCCCGATATACTGTGGTGCGACAAGAGTGGAGCGGAAAACGTCTTGGCCAGTCGAGAAACATGTTGACCCGCTGCGTTCTGGATTGATCCTCCGTATCTTCGAAAACCATCTTATCGTCGCATTGCTGTACCTGAACGTGTGCATGTTGATTTGCACAAGCTTTTGCATCCTGATTAAGCTCAGTCAAGCACCGCGCCAACCCACGATGCATGCAGTCAAGCCACTTTATTTCCGCATCATCAACTTATTTGCATTTTATCCAGCTGGGCATGCGACATGCTCAGATGACCATAGGTGATATATTCACCGATGGTGTTGGCAAAAGCATTTGGTCTGGGACCAAGCATTTAGCCGGTCACTTAGCATTGTCAGCGCATTTGTAGCGAAGATCGTCGTGCTTGACTGTCTCAGCCCGGTTGCTTCGTCATGGATACATTGCGCCAAGATCTTTCCAAGATTCTTGGAAGCCGGAGATTAACATTTTGAAAGTACGGTGACATGATGCCAAGAAGTGAGGCAACGATGTAGTACGATTGATATTAATCTGGTGCCGGGACCGATATTCATTGATGGGTATGCCGGCTGACAGATGGGACTACACAATGTGCTCCCTTGGGTATCTCGGAATGAAGAAAGTATGACGAAGGAAGATGCCGGCTGTTGAGGTCCGCATCCAGATCAACGTCGGTCGTTCCACAGTCGATCGATAACCTGGAAAACCGCCGTGATCAACTTCATAGTCTCGGAGTCAATATGCTGTCCAAATCGCTGCTGCATCTTGTCGGGATGCCAGCGCACGCGCTCCGCCTTCAGTAGTGACGCAGGGTCCTCCTTCCACGTCTTTGTAGTCCGGAAAAAGCGCTCTATTTCCTCCTTGGAGACGTGATTCGCTCTGCCAGACACTACGGGCCATGGGATCATATCGCGGACCTTCGCATCTGTCTCCTTATCCAGACCTTGGGCATTCTTCAGGCTGTCCCATTTGGCCGTGTAACTTTCCCATGCAGCCTCTGCCTCCTTCGCTTTCTTCCGCTCCTCGCCCCGACGCAGGCTCTCTTCCATGCGGCGACGCATGCTCTCTCTTTCTGCTTCCTCCCGCTCGAGTTCCTCATCAAGCTGACTGCGTTGCGCTTTTCGTTTTTGACGCGCCCGTTCTTTCGCCTCGCGTTCTTCCACAATGTGCTGGTGGCTCTTCTCCCACATCTTCGTACGCACAAAGTCCGCATACTCCTCTTCCGTCATACGCTCCAGCTTTCCATCGGGGCCGGGTTTTGTGTCGGGATATATGTGTACGGGCTGGCCATATACACCTTCCCAGTACGCCGCACCTTCATCGTCGGCAAGCGCATCGAACAGCGACTCGCGGAAAGCGTCATCGGGAGCTGGGCCTGGAGAGCCTGTACCTAGATCCTCTAAGTTGTCGTATAATGATTCGCGGTGACGGTAATCAGGGTCGTAGTAGGCGCCGTCTCGTGTGGATGTCGGGTGACGATCTTGGTCGGAAGAGCGATGCTTGTGCTTATGTTTGCGCCTCGAGTCGCGGTGGCTGTGCCGTTCTTCGCTGGTCCGATCCGACCTGTGCCTCTTGGAAGTATGGTCGTCGGTGTCTTCGTCCTTGCTTTCGCTTTTGTGACGCTTTGAGCGATGTTTGGACCCAGACTTGAAGTGAAATCGTGACGCTTTGGCCGTGGTGTAGAGGCTCTCCGCCGGTGGATCGCTAGCCTGCTCCTCCATGATGAGGACTATGGTGGTTTAATCGACATTCATGCATGAGTAATATTTGTACAGGGTGTGCGGGTTGACGTGTGCAGTCATTGCGAACCAAGGGACGTGAATTGCGGAGAAGGCGCGGAGGTGTCGATGATTTCACTGGTCGCGCGCGCCTTGGCATGCGACAGCCCAATTCGCGGTCGCGACTCCGACACCATCCCAACTCAACATCAACATGTCATTCAAATTCGGACTCAATGTGAAGAACAAGGGCGCGAATCCACTCGCGAAATCGACCGCCAAGCCTTCTTTGGGGAAGAAGAAGAAGCCGCTGTTCGACGAAGAGGAGGAAGATGCGAAAGGCAAATCCAAAGCGGCGGACGGCGCCCAGGAAATCGGCGAGCTGAACTTCGAAGACACTCTGGCCGCTACCT